TCTCCCTATGGTACTTTCCCCTTTGGTGGTTTTCCTATTCTGTTTTTCTTGTTCTTTGGTCTTATTGAACACCAAGCTTTACATTTATATACATAGAACCGCTACTGTCTCATGACTCACAACGCTGATAGCCTTTTGGCTTCTCTGATGCCTTTGTTTGGGCGTTTGGTTTTCAGTTTGCTACTGTCCCGTGGAGCCTCCGGGCTCCCTCCAATGACCACGTCTCATTTCTGGCGACCTCCAGTGTATATATTGTATAAGAAATCCTTGCTTAATGCCCTAAAGCATCCTTTTAGTCACCCCCACCTGTCCCAGTTCAGCCTCGTTCGCCGTAAATCCAACCAGTCAATATGCTTAGCTAAAGGCGGTCACCCAAAAATGGATGTTCGACCACTTGAGTTCGTCCTGCGAACGTCTTGAGGGTGTTCTTTTTGCAAGTTGATGAGGCTCAAAAGGCTTCTTGATGCATTCATGGTCTCGGACGAGCATGCGCTCTTCGCGTCGGCCGAATACGACTCCTACAGCTGTTCTTGGATGTTTGCAGACAAAACAACCTGTCATTCAGTATGTGAATGCATGTCCGAACGGTGCTGACCCAAGTTCATGCCAGGTACGCCTGAACCATCTCGCCAAAGCGCATTGCGAGATGGTCGCCGAGATTCTGCAATGCAGAGAGAAAACCTGGCACAGACCTTCCCACCATCCGCCAATACCACCGAAGCAACCGAATATCCTGTTGTTCAGAGCCTTCACCCATGGTCTGCCTTTTGATGCTTTTTGGGATGGAATGCTGAGAGCTCATGGCATCGTCAGAGGTCAAAGGACCGTGGTCGTGGTCCATTAATGAAAGGATGAATTGTCACAGCATGGGTTTTCCTCTAAGGGATGCCAGCCACTGAGCTTTCATCGACGTCCGGTTCTTTTTGCCAGCTTTCTGTGAGAACTCCGGGTTCCCCTGGTGTTCGTGAGACGCCCTTGCTTTAACTTTAAGCAGTCAAGTGGATCCACGAGCCACAAGCGCCTTCAGCATGTGATGTGATGCATATATGTTTGTTTGGAGTACAGCCTTGAAGGATCTTGAAGGCAGGTTGGGTGTAGACTCGTGTAGACACTTGAAGGTGTGGAAGTTCTGGCTTGGACATGTTGAACTGGTTGAACTGACATGTTGTGGCTCCTCTTTGCTTCAAGGCGGCTCAAGCTGACATGAGTTGGCCACTCGCACCCAACAAACCGTTGCAGAAGGGGTTGGGGACTCAGAACCGCACCGCACCGCGGTTCGCTCGCCGAAAGCAGAACACTCCGCACCGGACCGACCACCACTGAGGCATGGACCCTCCACCGCCGCCGCCCCCACCGTCCGAGTCGCAGACTCAGCCGACACCCCTTGTTGAACGATCCGGTAATGGTGTCGACATACATGTGACCACTGTATGATATAATGAAGGGACCAGTGGTGAAGCAGCTGCTCATCAGCTTATTTCTGCTCTCTCGGTGTGAAGGGGCAAGATGGGGTTGACTGACATTTACTTTTGGAGTTGCGATGTTGTCCTTCTGAGAGTTGCTGGAATGATTAGGAGACAATTCGCATAGATCTCAGGACCCTCATGGAAGGATATGCAGCACTGTTCGGCCAACCTCGGTCCACCAAGGTCTTACTCGCAGCGGCGAGCTGCAGAGGCCCCGAGACGAGATGCGACTCAGCGCGTGCGCACCGTGAAACCCTTTTTCTCCGCAGGAGGCGTCCTTTGAGGCGCAGGGCTTCGTGGCCACGTGCCGAGTGAACCGATTCCCGCTTACCCAAGAAAGAATATAAAACATAAAACAACGCCAAGACCTACCTCCTGTCGACCTGTTTTTGTTGCTTTGCCCTGAGGCACCGGCTCCGCCGGCGGCTCCGCCGCTTCGACCATCGACCAGCCAAGACTTGGTGTTGATCCCTTTGTGCCGAAAGGCGGGGTGCCTGCGGAGCTTGATGGAACTTGCGCAATTTGAGATTTTAGCATTTCTGGCACTCTGGCGCTTCTCAGGTGCTTTAGGGCTTTCGTAGGCTCCATGTATCTGTAGATGGGCCTTATGGGCCTTCCCCAGTGCGTCACGTTCCAGGTGCCGTAGATCCGTAGACGGTCATTTCCCAAGCTCAGCCATTGGCAGTTTTGCTCTCCGCAGCATTGTTGCTTTAGTAGCTGCTGGACCCACTCCTGGCCGCCATGGCGGACATACATATCATTATATTTAGTCAGTTAATCTAAAATGAACATGTACAGTATATAATTATATGTGTGTTTTGGTGAATATGTTCAACTGTATCGTCAGCAAATCAAATTGCCCATCCTGTCCGAGGAAGGATTGGCCCAATGCTAGCCCACTCTGCCGGATAGGCTCGTGGGGGTTGCAGTCAGAGCTGTTGCTCCCCAAAATCCCCGAAACTTTTCACGAGGCAACTTGGGGGAGCTACACCTGCGTTCGGCAGATTGACACAGAAGGTGCGGAAAGACAGCGTTCGGACTTGGACTTTGATAACCGATTGGATGCTTCTGGCTACAGGTGTTCATGACTCCATAGCGAGTCAGAGTTGAAACGGACAGTTGGAAGTGCCACACTTTTTGCAAGTGGCTTTCCGCCTCCGTCACCGCAGCAAAATGGCTCGACTGAGACATGCACTCCTGCCCGCAGTGAGCGTGCTGCGACCTGCGCTAAGACCAAGGAGAGTGGCTCGACCTACGCAGACGAAGAGCGAGACGCAAACATGACGGCCTTCAAGAAACCACTGGTGTCCACTGGCGGACAGCACTTGGTCTCTCCATGGGTCCGCTCATGGGTCACTAGCATGGGTGTACACATAGAGATATATTTGGGATTCCTCTCCCAAATGGTCACATATATTATCATATATTATTAACTATATATTCATTTGGGCTTATCATCACCAATCACTACGATCTGAGAATATAGGAACCCTAAGACCAAAAGGCCAAATCATCATTTCTAGATGTTTGTCCACAAACGCGACAACCGTGCAGATTCAGACATCAACAGCCATACCGGCAAACCCTTGGTCTCCGGCGTGTAGGGGAAGTTGCCGTTGGGCGTTTTTGTGATGCCCGCCAGAGAGAGAGAGAGAGAGAGATACCGGCAAAGCACATCTCATTTTCTGCAAGGTCTTGTAGGATTGGAGCAGGCACGCGATCAGGTGCTTCTCCACGAAGTGGAGAGGGGGTTTTCTGTGCAGAGTCCGCTGCACACCCCACCCTGAGTGGAAATTTGACTTGACATGTCAGGCTGTTGCAGATGAGACTCACCCGACGCGCACGCATCACGGATGTGCTTTGACCGACCGCATGTGCGATTGAATCGCACACACACACACACCCACACGCAGACGCAGACGCACATCATGATTGATGCAGTCCCATCACGCGGTTGTATTGACTCCAGGACTCTCCAATACTCAGTAGCTTTCCAATGAAGCATGTAAGGCTCGCTTAAGCGACTTCTTTAGAAGCAGCAGCTTTTCCTCAGGCAGTGGCTTCGGTGCAAGCCTTCGCAGTGAGGGAGATGCCAGACTTGGCCGTCACCACCTGGGATTCCACCATTGCAGAAGCACATGTGAAGAGACTTGGCGTGTCAAGGGGCCCGATAGTGACGTCCAGCTGTGTCATGCCCACACACTCATCTGTGAACAGAGGTCACAGAAGCCCCGATGGTCGCATCAAGCGCATAACACGCGCCTCAGGCACAACATTTCCAACCATGATTGTGCGGCTCTCAGCTTTGTGGACCGAGTGGAGACTTGAACCGTGGAAGTGGATATATATATATATATAACATGGATATGTATATATATATATATATTCGCACACATGGCAGTCACAAGTAGACATAACAGGCATGACAGAACGCCGACCCAAAACTGCGAACAAGAGCTGTCAGACACGATCAGACAAGTGGTACTAGCACCTGTGTTAAGTCGTCTGGTCTTGTAGAAAGTCGTCTGGATGCTGTGTTTACATTGGGGTTAGATACAAGATGGCAATATAACTGGAAGAGTATCAGGTCAACAACATTGTTTGGATGCTGCGTATAAATGCGGTTTAGGTGCAAGATGTCAATCTCATTGGAAGATAGGTTTTGGAATATCAGTTCAACACCATTTTTTTGGATGCTTCGTTTCCATGCAGGTTAGAGGGAAGGTGACCAAAAAGGGATTTGAAGATAATCGACGTGGGTAGGTGGATACAGGGGCAATGAATTCTTGATGTTTAGCAGTTTTGACAAACATACTTCCGTAGAGCGTTTGCATGGTGTTTAAACATAAAACGGGTGTCTTTTTGCAAGCCGGGTGACTTTTGACTAATGCTGCGTTTACATGCGGCCGGGTGACTTTCTGCAAACCCGGGTGACTAAACCCTGACGCTGGTAGATGTTTTTAGATATTTTGGGATATCATTGTTGCAGAAAGGAAGCATCTAAGCATCGACTGAGCCGGACCAGGTGTCGCAGAAGAGATCTCCTCACCTCTCCCAAGTTCGTCCTGACTCATGAGGTCTGTGGGAGGCAATGGCTCGTCACTGCTTGCCCTTTTCCAAGGGAAAGAGAGTGGCGGACCTCGGTGCCGGCGATGGAACCTTGGGGAAGCTGCTGTAGGCCTGGAGCTGCTGGGGACCAGGGTTTCCACCTAGGGGGTCGTTGTCCTGAAGTAGTTCTACTCTTCATTGCAGCTGGGCAGATTGCTAGTCACTGCTAATCCTTGCGAAAGGCCCAGTCGAGCGGCTGTTAGCTTCTTCAACCCCCTGCAGGCCGAAAGCATGATGAATGTGGAGACTTGGTGGGCAAGGGATGGCAAACTTGCATGGTTGAACATGGCGCAAGACATCAACCCATCCCAACCCCAGCTGGAGACCTCAATGATTCTGTGGTGCTCGCATGGCCGAGGATCCCTTTCCTCCGGAAGATTGCCCAGAGCGGACGCTTGGCCGAGATCAGAGTTCGCCCCAGCATCGCGGGCGAAGCGGAACCTTCCATGACCATGGTTTAGGAAAGCGACATGGCGAGTCGTCCTGGAGCATCCGTGCAGCTTTTTAGAGCTTGGTCTATTTGAGACGGTCCAAAATCGTTGGATCATGTTGGATTTGTTGGAACCATATGTTTTTCGCGATGTGTTCCTTCCAGATTTGGGCGCCCCAAATTTGGGCGCCCTGCTGGGACCCGACGGCAAGTTGTGCGCGACGTAGCGTGATGCCGAGGATCATCAAGAGGGACGGCGTAGACTTTCTGCGGGCCCAGCCTGACCAGAGCTTTGGAAAAAGAAATGAGCAGCTTTGGTGTTTATGGCCACCCAAGTACAGTAGAGATAAATGGTTTTCGAGCCAACTTTAGAGGGGATTTCGGACTCGCTATGGTTTCAAGGATCTCTTTTGGTGTGTTGAGAGGCAATCCCCACCAGCTTGCACTTTGTGAATCGGACGATGGAGCAACAAAAGAGCATCCGGATGTGTTGCTCTTCCCTTCGAGGAGTCTGGATTTGGTGATTTCCACCTTCGCCGTGCACTTCATGGACCGCCCGAGCCTGGATAAGGACCATCGACTCACGGCCGGTGTACCCAACTCGATCTCAGCTTTGGACAGGCAATTGACTACAACTGGAGGCGCCTAAATGGAGCGCTGGGTATGGGCTATATATATATATAGTTGTGTGTGTATGTGAGTCTTTCCTCCGTCTGTATCTATGAACTGTTTGGGCGCCCTTGTGTCGTTTTATGTCCAATCCGACTATATATCCGACCTATTTGCTACATTTGGGAGGTAGATCTTGAATCGAAGGAGGGAGGGTTGCCAGGAGCTGGCACGCGTCTTAAGACCAAGCGGCCGTGCCATTTGGTTTAGCACACCCAGCTGCACTAGGAGCCGTTAGGCCGTTAGGTTTGGGGAGCTCTTGTTGTAGCCAAAGACCACGTACAAGAAAGACACACACACACACACACACGTGTCTGTGTCAATTGTCGGCATCATTAGAGGAAGCAGATGCACCCTTGTCAGTGTCAAGTTGAGACGAGACTGTATTGGGATTGAAGAATCACAACGGTGGACAGAAGACGCAGCTACGATGGACATGGGAAGAATGGGACGACAGTTGCCAAGGCATTGAGAGGACGCACACTGGCATACTGAATTTCCCAGCTTGTGTACAACAGTAATCCTCAGCACGTTTGCACCCCGTTCTATTCTTTAGTTGAAAGAGAATGACAGTGATGAGATGCTTCTCCAAGCCAAGGCTTCTCGAGAAGCTCCGGGCTCTTTGGGAATCAGGACCTGGTGGGAATCAGGAACCCGAGGTCGCTATATACATCATGCGCCCCATCCATCGCCACAAGAGGTCGGATGTTCTCATGACGCTGATTTACTGAGTCGGATGATTATTGTAGAGATGCTCATCATCAACTTGATCAACAACCAGATAAGGGTCCACTGCCAAACAACAAACCCTTGACCGACCACAATCAGAAGGGTGAAAATGAAACATTGAAAACCACGAGCAAGGGGCAAAGGAGCAAAGAATATGCTGAACTCTTGAAGACCTCAATGGAGATGGATAGATTAGGTTAGATTAGATTATGATTAGATATGATGTGATGTTGTATGATATGATATGATGTGATATGATATGATATGAGATGAGATGCGATATGGTATATGATATGGTATGATATGATATGATAAGATCTGATATGATAGAGAGAGAGAGAGTGTGTGTGTGTTTGTGTCAGATGACAAAGAGGGGCAATGACAACAGTGGTGTCGTCCGGGTCCCAACGTATCTCAACAGAGCATTCCGTTGAGGTTCGTGATGGCCCTGCGAGGTTGAAAGGGACCGCGAGGGTGAGGTCCTTCTCTCTTAGAGGACTTGAATGTCCTTAGATAAACGATTTAGACCCCCAAACAGAGAAAAGATTCGATAAGTAGATCCCCACTAAAGTGT